GGCTCATCCGCGACTCCCGCTACTCAGAGGCGGCGCAGCTGCTGGCCGCCGAGCTGCAGAGGAGCCCCCGCAGCCGCGCCGGGCTGTCGCTGCTGGCCTACTGCTACTACCGCCTGCAGGAGTTCGAGCTCGCTGCAGAGTGCTATGAGCAGCTGAGCCAGATGCACCCGGAACTCGAGCAGTACCGCCTCTACCAGGCCCAGGCGCTGTACAAGGCCTGCCTGTATCCCGAGGCCACGCGGGTCGCCTTCCTCCTGGACAACCCCACCTATCAGACTCGCGTCCTTCGCCTCCAGGCTGCTATCAAGTACAGCGAGGGCGACCTGCCAGGAGCCAGGAGCCTGGTGGAGCAGCTGCTGAGTGGGGAAGCTGGAGAAGACAGTGGAGGGGAGAATGACCCAGATGGTTTGGTCAACATGGGTTGTCTGCTCTACAAGGAGGGACACTATGAAGCTGCCTGTTCCAAGTTCTTTGCAGCCCTGCAGGCGTGTGGCTACCAGCCTGATGTATCTTACAACCTGGCTTTGGCATATTACAGCAATCGTCAGTATGCCCCAGCTCTGAAGCATATCGCCAACATCATAGAGAGAGGCATCCGTCAGCACCCAGAGTTAGGTGTGGGCATGGCCACCGAAGGCATTGATGTTCGAAGTGTTGGCAACACCGTAGTCCTTCACCAGACAGCACTGGTCGAAGCCTTCAACCTCAAGGCAGCCATAGAATACCAACTGAGAAACTACGAGGCGGCCCAGGAAGCCCTCACTGACATGCCGCCCAGGGCAGAGGAAGAGTTGGACCCTGTGACCCTGCACAACCAGGCTCTGATGAACATGGATACCAGACCTACTGAGGGGTTTGAGAAGCTCCAGTTCCTGCTGCAGCAGAACCCCTTTCCCCCAGAGACCTTCGGCAACCTGCTGCTGCTCTACTGTAAATATGAGTACTTTGACCTGGCAGCTGATGTCCTGGCAGAGAATGCCCACTTGACATACAAGTTCCTCACGCCCTATCTCTATGACTTCTTGGATGCCATGATCACTTGCCAGACGGCTCCCGAAGAGGCTTTCATAAAGCTGGACGGGCTAGCTGGCATGCTGACTGAGCAGCTCAGGAGACTCACTAAGCAAGTTCAGGAAGCAAGACACAACAGAGATGATGAAATTGTCATAAAGGCCGTGAATGAATACGATGAAACTCTCGAGAAGTATATCCCTGTCCTCATGGCCCAGGCAAAAATCTACTGGAATTTTGAAAACTATCCCATGGTGGAGAAGATCTTCCGCAAATCTGTGGAATTCTGCAATGACCATGATGTGTGGAAGCTGAATGTGGCCCACGTCCTCTTCATGCAGGAAAACAAGTACAAAGAGGCCATCGGCTTCTACGAGCCTATCGTCAAGAAGAACTACGACAACATCCTGAGCGTCAGCGCCATTGTCCTAGCCAACCTCTGTGTCTCCTACATCATGACAAGTCAGAATGAGGAAGCCGAGGAGCTGATGAGGAAGATTGAGAAGGAGGAGGAACAACTCTCCTATGGTGACCCAGACAAGAAAATCTACCACCTCTGCATTGTGAACTTGGTGATAGGAACACTCTATTGTGCCAAAGGAAACTATGACTTTGGTATCTCCAGGGTTATCAAGAGCCTGGAGCCTTACCATAAAAAGCTAGGAACTGATACGTGGTATTATGCTAAAAGATGCTTCCTGTCCTTGCTAGAAAACATGTCAAAACACACGATCATGCTGAGAGACACTGTTATTCAAGAATGTGTCCAGTTTCTAGAGCACTGTGAAATTTTTGGCAAAAACATCCCTGCTGTTATAGAACAGCCTTTGGAGGAAGAGAGAATGCACACTGGGAAGAATACAGTCACATATGAGTCCAGACAGTTGAAAGCATTGATTTATGAGATCATAGGGTGGAATGTGTAGTTACTTTTGCAAAGGTCATTAGAGTTTTTCAAATCTATATTTTCCTTTTTTTGTTTTCCTGTGCATTTTTATATTTCTTTCAGGTTTGACTCGGTATACTTAAAACTATATCAGTCTTCCACTTTTGTAGCCAGTGTGTGATATAGGCACCCACATTCTTGCTGCTAGATACCACCCACAGTTGCTGCAGCAACATTGCTGCAGAGGCCCAGCGCTTTGAGTGTTTTGTCTTGAGCTGTAAAGAGAACTTTGCCTCAGTAACTAGTATACCGTCTGAGGTCCTGCCTTGTAGGCCCTGTTGCTGGGACACAGCAAACCATCTCACCATCAGTGAAGAGAAACAGAATGCAGACTTTGTTCTCTTGGCAGATTTGCTACCCAATAAATTTAATTCTTAGCCATATGCCTCCAGGTTTTTTTTTTCTTTTGGTGATTGTTTGTTGGTTGGTCTCTTTGGGACCTTTTTGTTTCTATTGTTGGAGTTATTTCACTTTCTGGACCCCATCAAAAATGAAAGTCTAGTTTGGACCTGGTCTCAGTCTTTTTGAAAGTACCAGTACTAAATAACAGAATCATTTTCCTAGGTTCTTTTCTGGTTATTTTTAGCCAGTGGTTCCATTTTTCTCCCATGATGTGCTTGGTTAGTTCTTAGGTTTTATAATCAACATTTCATCATCTGTGCTTGGGGTTTTCCATAGTTGACTGCACTTCATAAATGTTTACAATACTAAATATGGAAGTTCTTTTTAAAAGGTTGTGTGTGTGTGTGTGTGTGTGTGTGTGTGTGTGTAGGCATGTGGGTGCCATGATGTATTTGTAGAAGTGAAAAACTTTTAGGAGTGGCTTTCCCCTTTCTGCCCTGACTCTCGTGAGTTGAACTCAAGCCCTCAGGCCTACCCAGGTAGCACTTTACCCACGGCCGCCTTGGAAGCTCAAGTTTAGAAGCTTTGCAATGTTTTTAGTTAAGAAGTGTTAAGCTGAAAATGAAAAGCGGGGGGGGGGGGGGGGGG